GGAAATGTCTCTCCTTGAGGCCGTTTGAGAGAAAGAAAAGAGGGTTTCAGCTTCCCCAAAGTTTATTTTAACCACAAAGAAGACACTCTACCTGTTAGCCCGGGCCTAATGTCAGTTAATAGTTCTGCCAAATTATGCAGTCCCACTGGACTGATTGGAAACTGAAATTCGGGGTTTGATATCTCCCAAAGTCTGTGCACGTGTGGGAATAGTGTGCATGAAAGGAAACTCCCCAATTCATGCCTCAGCTAAACCAAGAGGGAGGAGATAAATTCAGTCCAAATGTGTCCGCTACCACAATGAATGCAAATGGAATAAGATACCTCATAAAAAGAGTTGAATTGGGTTTAAGAAAAAAAAAAAGTCAAGCTGTAAAAATAATTATAAGGAGGATCCCTAAAATGAAGTGAAAAAACAAATGGTAATGTTCAAGAATATACCTAAATGTGCAAACCAGAAAGTAGGAATGTCAGAAAACAATGCAAATACCAAAGATGGAGACAAATGTCAAAGGGCCTCTAAAGACATAATGGTAAAAATGAAATCCACTAAATAGGTATTGATAGATGCACACGTATGTGATATGCATATATATATATATATATATATATATATACATATATGCATGTCACTTCATCAATTAAGAAAACATAGCAGTTGATTATGTGTGTAAATATTTCTTAAAGGGTCATTGCTTTGTTCAAAAAAATCTGTGAGGAGTATTTAACATTCCTCTTAAAGAATTTGGTGTATCAGAGACAATTTTTTTTTTTTAAAGTGTGAAGGTTTCAATAATAAATCAATATTCGTAAATATTCCTGAGCTGAACTGACTAGGTTTGCTTTTTATTCCACTGGCTGAATGCTAGAGACCAATTTAGTTCACCTTTGTGGGCTTCTGTTTTATTTATTCAGTAGATGTAGAAAATAACACCATCAGATTCATCAGGGTACTACGAGGAGTGGGTGAGTTACTACTGCAAATGCAGTGCTTAGAACACAATCTGGTACTTGTTTTATGCCAGAAGAGTTACCTGTCAGAAGGATTATGCTCACCAATCTCATCATCATTCTCTAGAAAATCATGAATAAATCAAACTGGTCCACGTAGGTCTAAGCAAACACTAAAATATCTTACAATCCTAGAACAGAACAGAGAAGTACTTTTCATTGTTGTAACAAAATCAATAATAACAATAACACAACAAAAATAATATTTTAAGAGAATAGGAGGCTCATCAATTTTTATTTTCCTAAAGCTTTGTCAGATAATTTCTACTGTCATCCCTTAATTTATCAAAAGAAATCAACTTTAATAAGGCATATTTTACATGAGGTAAAGTATACCCAGTTGTGAAATTTAGTAAGATTTGTCAAAGGCACACACTCCTGTTACTACTGCCACAGTCTAAAACAGAATATTTTCATTACCCTAAATACACCCTGATGATCACTTTCAATTAATTTCCCACCTCAGCCCAAGCAACCATTCTGTTCTAGGTCAGCATAGAATTAACTTACTTTCCCTTCAAATATCATTCCCTGAGTTTGTGTGATATTTTTGAAATTATTCTAAATTGTACATGACATTAATTCATGTCTTCTGATCACTAATATTCCATTTATAAATGTACTACATCATTTTTTTTTCTCTACGAATCTGTTCGTATGCATGAGTGCTATTTCAACATTTGACAATCATGAAAAACTTTGCAATGAAACTTCTCTGCATTCCTCATGTGACCATATGCTTTCATTTCTTTTTGGTGTGTGTATGAGAGGGATTTATTTGTAAAAGTTTTAACAAAACTGCCCAGTGATTTTTAAAACAGTTATTACACTTCACTCAACTACCAGAAGGTATAAGAGTTCCAGTAGCCTCACACCATAAAAAAAAAAAAAAAAAAACTGTGACATTTTCAGTATTCTTGTCTTTAGCTTTAGAAATAGTTTGGTAGGCATGCCATGTGATTATGTATTTTATTTTTCTGATTAATAATGATGTTGAGTACCATTTTATATGTTTAAATATCTTTCATGTACTTTGGTGAAATATCTGTTCAAATTTTTTATTCCTTTTTAACTGATTGTCTTGTTCTTAACCTGGCAAAATGTCTTAGTGCTATGTCTTTCAGACCTGTGACTTTTGCTTTTTTTGTGAAATCCAGTATTTCTCTTTTATTTTTATATTTTGTGGTTTTGTATGTGCGTGTGCATATGGGACCTTAGAAATCTTTGCTTACCACCAGGAATCATGAATTTTTTCTAGAGGGTTTAAAGCTTTGCATTTAATTTTGTGATCCATTTCAAGTTAACTCTGAGTATACACTGTGAGATAAATGTGAAAGTTGACTATTTTTCAAGCGAATATCCCTTTGTTCAAGTGCCATCTCTTGAATTACGATGTTTTTATAGTCAAATCACACTATATCTTTGTCTAAAATCAAATTAGCATTTGTATGAGGATCTGTATTCAGAAACTCAGTTAAGTTTTATTGACCTGTTTCTAATAAAACACTGTTTGTTTTTTTTTTTTTTTTGCTTTATTTTGGTCATAAATTGTAAAATCAGAGGATAAGTTCAACTATGCTCTTTATCATTTTTATTTTATATTTCTTATTTTCATTTGAATATACATTTTTGCACCACCTGGCAATTGCCAAAAGAAAATCTGCTGAGATTTTGATTGAAAATATTTAATATCTAAAAACATATTGGGTGATAACCGACCTTTTAAAAATATTGAGTTTTCTGATCCATGAACATGGTATATTTCTTTATTTTTATGATTTTATTTCTTTATTTGTCTGCAATTCTTTGTAGCTTTCAGTGCATAGACCTTATTTTGCAGGTTCCCTAGTGCTTAACAACTAACAAAAATGAGAAGATACCCCCAAAAGATCTGAGAAGGAGCAGCCAGAGAGATAGAAAGAAAACCCATAAGCTAAATAAATGCGGCACTTCAAGGAGAAGTAATCGAGTTGCTTCTGTGACATCACACAAAGCGAGGACTGAGAGTTGACCCCTGAACTTTCCAATGTATTACAGTGCCCTCTATGACAGAGGATCCTTACCAGGGACAGCAGGGACAAAAGACCAATCAGATTGGATTTGAGAAAGGATTAATTGGAGTCAATGAGCATAGACAGCTCCCCTCCCCCACCCCATGGAATTTTATTTTAAGAAGAAGCAGGAAATTGTGGCAGTGGCTGGAAGGAAATGTGAGGTCAGACATTGTTTATCTTTACTATGGGCAAAATAGCCACAAAGCTCTGTGATGTTGCACTACAGCAGAGAGAAAGCTGAGGGTTCTAAAGTCAGAGGGTTGAGTGGCTGGATCAGCTCTTGTGTGGGTAGGAGAGGGCACTATGGGAAGTACAAATGCAGATGTCACCTGGAGGAGAAAGTGTGTTCACCTGAGCAGCAAGAGGCTGGCATGATGGCTTGATGAAGCTCTTTTTTTTTTTTTTTTTTAATTCCAGTCGCTTTCTTAGTAAAATAAGGAGCAAAGCAGCCAGTTGTCTTTGAATTGGGGGCAGAGTATTGCAGTTTTGAATAAAGGGCTCTCCCTTAAGTTGAGTAAATTCTTCCTCACCCTTCCACAGAATGATGATTCGCATTAGCGTTTTTTACAAATCAAGATTTTTTTTTTTTTTTTTATGTAAAGAGTGAGAGCTTCCTTCAAGTGAAAATCTAGAAATTCACTTAAGACAAACATCATCTCTATGTAGTTGTCCCACCCAGTTTGGCTCTCCGTCAATTGTAGGGAAAAAGGATTGAGCCCACTTTGAGTTCACATCCTACAAAGAAACACCATCTTTGCCCTGAAGCCTCTGATGGTGCTGGTGAGTCATCACGGAAAAGTGATGGGTGAGACTGACAGAAATGCAGAAGAGTGTGATAATCCACAGAAACCTTTAGGCTATGGTCATGAAATGTAGTCATAGAAACCTTCTTTCTCATCCGATAAAAACGAACTGTGCCCCAAAAGATACCTTTTGACTTACCTGCATCCGATTACGGATTTTATGCTCCCCATGTCCATTCCCTGTAAGATTCTGAGTGTTGCTTTCCCTAACAAATGTGAAAATAAATCCAAGCTATTCTCTTCTCAGGCCATAGCCATGTTTGCATGTATTAGTATCTTGCATGTGTGTCCCTTTTATGTTGTTTAGCTTTTCTTTCCCAAGCAGTTAGTCCCTTAAAAACAAACAAGACCCACACATATTATAAAGTTTACTTGGAGGGTTCCACGTAGAAACACAAAGAGCATTCATTTTTTAATTTATTTTTTTTAATATAGAGTTTTCATACAAACCCATACACCCTTGTCCTCCACCTTGGAGATCATAAATACGTTGCTTGTGACACCAGCTTTGTTCTTTGGCTTTGTTTGACTCCACTTTGTGTACTTTCTTGTCTTTAAGGAGCCTTTTATTTTAAAAATGTGATTTATAAAGGTTTTAGGTAGTGCCTATGATCCTTTGATTCTATTTCCCTTTTCTCTTGACTCTAACTAGCCCTGGGAGTTCCTGGCATGCTTCAGAGAGCTTGCGTTTGAATCCAGTCTAAATCAGGGCAGACCCTTGACCAGCTTAATCTCTGCTTGCAGATGACAATGCAGTGAAACCCGAGGAAGAGAAAAATGAATGACTTCCTTTCCTGTCGGAAACCTAATAAGTAGTTAGTCTGACCCAGTTTTCAATAAGAGAGATTTTTTTTTTTCTGATGACCCAACAGGAGTGACTGTCTCTACTCAAAAGAAAAGAGGAGGGTGAATTTAATCTTTTATGCCTCTGGAATGGCAGCAGATCTCAGCAACCCTCTGATTTTGTGAAGGATGAGGAAGACAGAGCTGGCTCTCCACGTAGGGAGGATTTTCTTTTTGAATATTCCAAACGGGAGCGTTGCACATGTGCCTCAAGAACTAATTGTCTGGGTTCTGTCAGGAATGCAGCAAGAGAGGAGCGTATTTCATGCCTAAGACCAGACAGGAGCCACGCAATACTCTGTGGATAAAAGGCTTGCAGTCCCAGCTGAGAAAAAGAGGTCCCATTATCTCCCAGCTGCATAGACATTCCATACGGCTTGGTTCTGCCTGGGTGCACAGCATGCTTGGCTGAGGGCTTGCAACAGAGTTCTGCAGAAAAATTGTAAAGATCCCGAGACATTTCCCTGGGAAGATCTGTAAGTACTAAATTGTGCTGTCTGCTGCAATGAGAATATTGCCGGGCAAGCTGCAGTTTTTTTTTTCCCTTCCTTTCGATGTCTTTGTATTAGCATAACAGGTAAAAAAAAAAAAAATCTGGGGTTGGGGAGAAATGACTGCTTTATTGATGTTGTGTTTCTGTGATGCTGATGCTTAAAATGCATTTATTCCTTGGGAGAGAGAGAGAAAATAAAAACGTATTGAATCTGTATTCGGGGGAGGTTAGGATCCAACCCAGGGAAAGAGACTACAGGTATAACATTGTGTTTCAATAGTCTTTGCTGCAGTAAAACTAATGGGCAAGACCGGATGACAGTGCTAATTCTGGTACTTTCAGATGGCTACACACCCTTTCTGTAACGGCAGATGGGAAAATGTGATTGCTAATTTTTTTTTCTTTCCCCCCCATGGAAGGGTTGAGAGGGGTGCGGTTTATGGTGCCCATGAAGGATTTACAGGAAGGGTTATAAAAGTTTCCTGGGGGAAGGTTTTGGTAAAGGTAGAGAAGCAAGACAGGAAGTCAGACAGGCTCACCAAATTTTGTCTGGCTTTTTTTTTTTTTTTTTTAAATCCAGCATCGATGTAATACTTTCTAGAATCCCCTTTAGCGTTTGCATTAGTCAAGCTTATCAGCATGAGGTTCTCATAATACTTTATGAAAAGTTTCTGAAGTTGACGAGTTGGGAACAAAACTTTGAAGAGTTCTGCGATGAGCCACATGTATGTAACCCATTATGTTCATGTGACGCCTGTACATGGAGGGTTTGGAGGAGTTGGGGGGAATTGGAATGTATAGTTCTTGCAGCTCCACATGAAAATAACTTATGTGACAATAATCAGCACCCTGACTATGTCCTATGAGAAATATTCATCGCCTATTGAAATAGAACTTATTTTGAGGCAGGGAGGTGTTGGGGTTGGGTGGGGGGACAGAACAGTAGAATCACACAGAACCAATTTGGAAAATGAGGTCTTCATAATCTAATTCTACAGGGACAATGTATTTCAAAGATATCTGTAAAAGGAAGAGCCATATGTTGAATACTGAATTGCTTGATTGGAACAATTTTCTTTTATCTGCTGGGTTTGTTTATCATCTTTAAAAACTGTTGTTGTGGTGGAAGGTTTCACCAATTTATGTGCACTGTAGTAATCCAAGAAAATATTTAAGCCTTCTCTCTTCTGCCCCTCCACTCGCCTATCACACACATACACACACACCCACGCACACATGCACACACATGTAAATATATATGTTTTCACAAAACAAACATTATACCCACAAAAATGTGGGCTGGCACAATCTGTGCATCAAACAGAAATACAGAGTCCTTGTATTTTTGATACAATGGGATGTTTCAGTGGTTTATTTTTTTCTTTTTACTTTATTTATTTATTTAGCAATCATCATGGGTGTGCAGCCCAAAGACTTCAGATCTAGAAACTTTTACATAAGGCTTTGTATGTTACAATGAGAGACAATTTCACCCATGCTAGCAGAAAACGAAAATGCAAAAATCTATTATTTAGGAACAATTGTGTGGCTTTTGCTTACTTTGTACATTTCTAGCAAAGTCCCAGAACATATTTTTTAAATTTCTGTTTAACTTTCCTTAATGAAGACAAATGCACTTGGTCATTGAGAAAAATGATCGCGTAGTGAGTCCGAGCTTGGATAATGATGTTATGAAAAGAATGTAAGATATAAACCTGATTGTATATTTATGGTCTTCAATAAGCGAAAACGCTCAGTGGAATAAAAGTAAACTTGAAACTCTTCCAATTTTTATGGGAGGGTGGTAATAAATCTTTGCTTATTTATTTATAGTAATGGCGTATCAATTAGAACACAGTAGCATAACAAACTCTTTAAGTAACTCAAGCTCAAATAAAAGCTCAAAAAGTAAATTCCATCACCCAAAATATTGTAAATTATCATCATGCCTAAATTCAGATAATAAGATGGAGGGAAAGAGGAAAAACGGGGGTACTTTTGCAAAAATTATTTCCTATAATATATATATATATATTATTAGAGTAAGAAGTATTTAGATAACATGGTGGCATAATCAATGTTAGACAAACATTCTTTCATAAGAATGTTATCTTCATCCTATATTTTAAAACCTATAATATTTAATTTTAGGTAGCTTCCTTAAAACTATCTGAAATAAAACTCAAAAATTGCTAAATTTCTGCTATTTTTCTTTCCAAAGGAGATATTAGTTACAGAAAAATAACTCTATGGTTATGACCCAAAACTACAAAATCATTAACAGTTTAGTCATTTTTTTAAAAAGATCCGAATGGAGGTATTGAACAATCTCTAATAAGTCCTTTCTATAATAGTAAAATAAATCAGCACATGTACTTGATAACTATGGAGCATCCCCATACCTCCTGAATTCAAATTCCATTAGCAGTTTTCAATTACTAAGCTTTATAGTAACCACGATACCATGCTGAGCTTTATAGGATTTATCTTAATTCCCATAGACTTAGTTTAGACTGTGACTTAAACTTTGAAAGAAATCATCTTTACCAACAAACATTCGCCCCGCAATTGACCATGACCTTCTTAGGTTGCAGAATTTCCGTTAGGTAAGTAGTACCCTGCCGCTAAACAGACAGCCAGAGGTGCCTGAATATTTCTTTCTTTCTTTTTTAACCTTATGCACAGAGTCTGTTCTGAGTGTCAACTGCATATTCTTCCATTGGTAATCTTTTGGGAATCAACATTTCCTTCCAGAAATATTTCAGTATTTGTATGCATTGCTGGGGACCCTTCTTACATTGAAAGATTCGCAGAAATTTTAGGTGTATCTGAAATTTCCATCCTTGAATATGACTTTTTTTTTTTGATGTTCCCATGATTCTTTACTTTCTTTTCTTGTCACAAGTTGTGGTCTTCATCAATATTCTCTGGATGTTTATCCCTTTAAATTAAGATTCTTTTATTTTCGGACTTTTTTTTTTTTAACCTTGTACTAGTTCTTTGGGCCTTATGTTCCAGGTTATGGGCTAACAGTTAATACTGCCTGTTTCTTTTCTGTAGGATCACCAATTACGGACATGTTGGACCTCATTTGTTTATCTTACACATATGTCATATTATCCAAACTCATTTTCACTACTATACTTTTCCTGCTCATTGTGTTTTATATTCTGAACCCAGTCTACCACAACCCTAGCAATGATTTTTTTAGTAGTTAATAATGTATTATTGTTTCGAATGTAACTGTCATCTCTAAAAAGTTCATTCTCCTCTATAATTGTTATTGTGTTTTTTCTCTTAGCTCCCTATATTTTATTTTGGTTACTAAAATTTCTGTTTTAAAATATGTGCAGAAAGATTTATGCTTTCAAGATATTAAGTCTATGTAAGCAGGGCATGGGTGGGTACAAAACTGTAATCCAATGGCTCAGGAGGCTGAGGCAGGAAGATCCCAAGTTCAGGAACAGGCTTAGCAATTTAGAGAGATACCCAGTAACTTGGAGTGACCTTGTCCTAAAATAAAAACTAAAAAGGACTAGGGATGTAGTTCAGTGGTATTGTGCCTCAGAGTTCACTCTCCAATAATAAAATAAAATAAAATAAAATAAAAAAATAAAGATGTCTATGGTTATGTAATTGTAGTTTTCTAAGCACTTTCTCAAAATCATATCTGTTCTTTGAGATTTATGTTTTTTGACTACATTATTCTTCAAAGTGTATGCATCACAGATGGACAGGTGATATCTAGAGGATTTTTTTAGGTCACTGAAAGTATTCTGTATGATTCTGTAGTGGTAGATACATGTCCAAATGCATACAATTGTCCAAATGCATAAAATGTACAAAACCTAGGGTGACCCTAATAGAACCTATGAACTTTGGGTGATCGTAACATCAATGTAGGATTATCAAGTGCAAGTTTACCATTTTGGATTAGTATATCAATGGTGGGAGAGGTCACACATGAGTTAGGGTAGGAGACATAAGGTAATTCTAATTTTTTTTTTTTTTTGCTCAATTTTGATGTGAACCTCAAGGTGCTCCAAAAGAAATAAAATCTATAAAATAGTGGGGAGGAAAAGGATTCAAGTGTTTTTCAATATTTTATTTAAATATTATTTTGGAATGAAGTTAAGTATTTGTGGGAGAACAATGGAGTTAGGAGTCTGTGGTAGAAATGTTAAGATAGGGTATCTAGAGTTTGCTCTCCAAAATGTTGGAATTGTCAAATGGCCATCTCCTCTCTCAAATTTGAGAGACACTGTGTCGGTTGTCTTTGAGTGACTGGCATAATTTATAGACAAGCCATTAAAACAGGAGTCTATGTGTTCTAGACATACTGTGTTAGATTTTTGTCACTGTGACCAAAACACCTGACCAGAACCACTTGGAGGAAGAAAAGACTATTTTGAGCACAGCATTTCAGAGGTTCAATTCATGGTTGACCAACTTCCTCACGCCAGGCTGGAGATGAGGCAGAACATCATGGTGGAAGAGCATGGCAGAGGAAAGTTGTTCACCTCCTGGTAGCCAAGGAACAGAGGGAGAGAGAGAAAGAGACAGAGACAGAGAGAGAAGGTCCCATGCCCAGTAACCCTCCTCCTTCAGCCATGACCTCATACAGTTGCCACCCAGTTAGTCATTTTGAATCATCAGTTCAGCAAATGGATTAATCCACTGTTGAGTTACAGCTCTCATAACTTAGTCTTCTCACCTCTGTATCTGTGAGAGCAATCACTGAAGACAGATGGCCTTTTGCTTTGTTTTGCTTTTGTATCCTGACCACTCCCACCATGAACTTTTTCTTTCCCTTCATTGTTTCTGTAGAATGGGAGATGAATAAGAATCTCTTTATTTAATGAGCTTTAGGTAGGAATCTTTCAGCTTAGAGCAATTCACCAAATGAAGGTTTCATTAGAAAAATTATTATTTTTCATTATTCTCATTGACAAAAGCCATTCTAGTTATAATTGAGTATGCATG